AGTTAAAACAATGACACACACACACACACACACACACCTGTAGGCGCTTCAATCGTGTATGGGGGAGCTCATAATTCTTTGATCCAAGGAAGGCAAGCAGTGGTGGCCGTGCCAAAGGCAGCGAATATCAGGATGAATGAGATGTTGGCGGAGGTCCTGTCTGGCGGCGAGCGAGAGGTCGGAGGTGCTGCATCCATGGCCGCTGCCCATCGCGTCCAGAAGGTTGAGGTCAGTCGTGGCGGCGGCCGGCCATCGATCCAGCAGCTTTGGCAGAAGGCAACCATGACTTCTCCGGGGGCGCGGGTGGGCAGTGCAGGCGGGGCGGCACAGAAAGAGGAGCTTGAGGAGGAGGCGCGGCGCTCGGCCCACGGACGACCGACAACGGGCCCAAGCTGGGCGGAAGGAGAGGGTCATGGATCGGGGCAAGCTTGGGTGGTCGCTGTTGACCAGAGGGCGGAGAGAGGAGAGGAACTGAGTGGAAAGAGGAGGAAGGAGGGCTGAGCGGGAACGCCAGCGTGGCCCTCATCGGCGGCAGCCGGTCTCCGGTGGGAGGCGCGGAGTCGGGTGGTCGGGCCGAGGCGTCTCTCGCAGCGGCGCAGATGAGGAGTCGGGGGAGGAATGCCCTAGCTGGTGGATGGACTGCGGGTTCAATAGGCAAAACGGGGTATGCACACGACGTGGTTCTCGAATTAGTACCACCTCGTGTATATGTTTTAAATTTAAATTAAAAACGTAATTTTACAGGAAGAAAACGTATTGTGACGGTGAACCCGGAGACTTAATCCGTATTTTATTATTAGGGAGAGAGTAAGGATAGACTAGCACACATGCCCGTGCGTTGCAACAGGAAAAAATATAATACGTGGTTAAAGATTTTACTAACCTAACCACTGACTTGCATATGTCTGTCATTGTCGGATTATACCCACACCTCATCATTTGTTTTGTTTATTTCCGTCATTGCTAGATTATAGCTACACCTCACCCGCAGTTTTTTATTATTTTCAAAGAGGCTTATTGGTTGTCTATTTGAGGCCATATATAAATTAGTGAGATCCTGTGTATATTTGCAGGGTGGTACTACTAATTTTCTTTTAGGAATAAATGGTACTATTAATCAATAAAGATTTTTTTATAGTACCAAAAGCTGGCCCAATAAAGAGAATAGTAAACTGGATGGGCTGAATCATAGGACAACCCGTGCCCGTCAAATAAAGAGCGCTTTCCCCTAAACAAAAGTGAAATAAAAAATGTTTTTTCTAAAAAATGGGAGCATGTGCCCGCTATAGCCAGCAGCCGCCGCTGCGCCCGAGTGAGCGAGGAGAGGCCGAGCTCTTCCTTGGGATGCCATCTCCGCCGCCTTCCTCTCGCCTCCGGCCGGCTAGCCCAACTGCCGCTGATAACCTCGCGTTGCCGCCCTCTTCTTCTCCCGTCTCTCTCCTCCCTTCACGCAGGAACTCAGCTGAGCCGCCATGGCAGTATAGCTTCGCGACCGCCGCCCTCTTCCCTGCCTTCTCCCTCCCTTTCCCCCTTCCTCTTCCTTCTTATCTTCTCCTGTCTATCTCCTCCCTCGTCTCACTCTCCCCTTCCAGCGCAGGAACCCAGTCGAGCCGCCATGGCAGAGAAGCTTCGCCGCCATCGCGTTTTGCTCCAGATCCACGCCATGACGCCGCTCCTGTGTTGGATCCGTTGGGAGCGATGCGCCCGCCATCGTCCGACTTTGTCTGCTCGCCCCCTGAAAGCCCTATGGGAGTGCTGCACTACCGTCGCCCAATTTCTTTGCCGCCTTCATATTAGATCTGGGTCGGCGTCGACCTTCTAAACACTCCATGCATTGCCGCCACAGCTGCATCTGGCCCAGACGCGGGGGATGCATGCCAGATGGGCTGATGCCCAAGCGCGGAAGACTGCCCAGGCGCGGAAGACGCATGATTGAATGGGAGTCCCTAGTTGGGCCGGCCTGTTAGTGTTGTGCAGTCCTCGCTCGCTCGTTCCAGCCGCCCTATAGCGCCACGAGGTACTGTAGCGGCGAGAGGTACTGTAGCGACGAAGCATTTAGCGCTGCTGGTGCAAAATTTCGAAAAACAGTTCATGAATTTGAAAAAACAATTCACAAATTCAAAAAAAGTTCATGAATTTGAAGGAAGCACAAAAAATTGAAAAAACGTGAGTTTGGAAAATAGTTATCGATTTTGACAAAAAGTTCACCAAATACAAAAAAAAGTTCATTGAATTTAAAAGAATCATCGATTTTCAAAAAAGTTCATAGAATTAGAAAAAAGTTCATGGAATTTGATAAAAAGTTGTCGAATTTGAAAAAAGTTCATCAAATTTTAAAAAAAGTTCATCGAATTCAAAAAAAGTTCGTCGGTATTGAAAATAGTTCATCAAATTTGAAAATAGTTCATCGAATTCAAAAAAAGTTCATGGATTCTGAGAAAAGTTCATCGAATTTGGAAAAAAAGTTCATCAATTTTCAAAAAAGTTCATCCAATTTGTAAAAAAGTTTATTGATTTTGAAAAAATTACATCGAATTTGAAAAAAAGTTCATTGAATTTGAAAACGTTCATCAAATTTGAAAAAAAGTTCAACAATTGTTTAAAAAAACTAATAAATTTTTGAAAAAATCATCGAGTTTGATGAAAGTTCATGAATATAGAATCACGAATTTGAACCAAGTTCGTGCAATGAAGAAAACAAAAAAAGAAAAAAGGAATAAGAACCGCGACCTGGGAAAGAATAAAACAAGGTAACATGTATTTGTACACAAGTGAGTTAGTGTCCTACTGGTTAGTGCGGTGCGGTCTAGTGTCCTAGTGGTTAGTGCGCTGCGGTCTCCATGAAGAAATTCTTAGTTCGAACCCCGCTGGCGCACTCGCCTTTTTTGCTTGGGTTTGAAAAATAAAGGAAAAATGGCGCAGGATTCGCCTCATTGAATTAACGAGACAGAAATTTAATACCACCTCGAATATATTTTAAATTTAAACTGAAAGCGTAAAATCACGAGAAAAAGCGTATTGTGACAGTGAACCTATGGAGTCAATCCGTACTTTATTATTAGGGATAGATTAGGGAGATAATTGCAGAGACTAACATATATTAGCATATTAGTGGAGTGAATAATTAAATTTAAACTGAAAGCGTAAAATCACGAGAAGAAGCGTATTGTGACGGTGAACCCACGGAGTCAATCCGTGCTTTATTATTAGGGATAGATTAGGGATATAATTGCAGAGACTAACATATATTAGCATATTAGTGGAGTGAATAATTGCAGTATAATTTTACTCATATTACAGCCATTTTTGGACATATATTACTAGCAAAAATACCCGTGCTTTGCAACGGGAGAAGAAAACATATCACAGCCGCTGCTTTGCAACAGGAGAAGAAAACATATTACAGCCGCTAGCGGCCAACCACAACACCTCGACGAGATGTCGTGAAACAATAGCTTCGTTGAGATCAACAAAAGACTCTATTACCATGACATGTAAATGTCTATATTTTGGCGCCAATGATTTATTATGCACTCGTATGTACCGGGTTCAATAGCGGCAACTGTCAATTTATCATGTATTTACTTTATTATTAAGCATATATGTTTTTGTGGTGTGTGTCTAAACTGTGTATATATGTTAATCCAACATTGTCCAATCCTTCCTATCTATGTGTAGTGTTTGTTTCCTTTTCAGTACAGAGTCAAATTTAACCTTAAATAAAAAATATACAGTACAGTTTCAAAATTGTGCATAATTTATAGAACAAACGCTCTTTTTTTGGGTGATAGTATGTGAGCTAAACCGTCCGCGTGATGGACTGGGGGATATTTACTCGAAATTGCACATTTATTTAAAAAACACGACGTGCAAGGAGATATTTATTTTTGGGTCAACAATGCTGCTAGCTAACACGTACGAAATCAAATCGCATCGCTGGCGGTCCAACATCGTGTGTCACCCCACACGCTACGCCGCGGCCGTGTACGCCCAACGCCGCTGGGAGATCCCTGGCTTCCCACGAGCCGCCAGTGGTGCGACCCTGAATCTCGTGGTCAGTTGTTCCTTCGTTTCCTCCACATGGAGCACTGTAATCTTGATTTCAACTATTCCTTCGATTCCTCGTGTAAATCTTGATTATTTGCTCCTTCATGTTTTCTTTCGTTGAGGATCCCTCTGCTTGTAGATTTCGAGGCGGCTTGTTTTCAGGCAACTCACGGACGTATATGAATTGGTGTGATCAGATACAGATAAGCAAGATGGGACTATTAATTTATTTGGAGAACGAATCTTCGTTCAGCGTCAAGGGACGGGACGGTTGGTTGTGATTTCAATTTTCCGTGGTTCTAGGCCTCACGTGGCCTGTGGCCCAGGCCCGGAAAAAAATTAAACGTGGTTTTTCTCCTCGCATTGTACTGTTTAGTACCACCTCAAATATGTTTTAAATTCAAACAGAAAGCATAAATTCATGAAAAGAAGCATATTGTGACGGTGAACCCGACAAAGTCAATCCGTGCTTTATTATTATTATTATTATTATTATTATTATAGGGAAAAAGATTAGGAAGATAATTACAGAGACTAACATAAGTATTAGCATACTAATGGAGTGAATAATTGCAGTATAATTTTACTCATATTACAGTCATTTTTGGACAAATTTTTATACCTAGAATTGTGGACCTCGGTTACATCAAACTGGGTCCGTGAATACGTGACAAATAAACAACAAATATGTCCATATCTCCCCTGGGTTTTTGTGTGGACACGATAGATTAGATTACTCCGTCTCTATCCTGGAAAGAGAATAAACTAGTACAACTTTTTATACGCATGCGGTCGAGAATGCAGCCGCACCACCTTCCCGGTTCCTTCCACTCGTCAGTGCATGACACACAGACAGGAGCGTGGCAACAAATTTGACCATTCCCAAGAGAAACCTTACGCGCCACTCTGCATCCAACTTTCCATGCCTATTTATCTTTGAGCAAACACTATGAATGAACGCTGTCAACATGGAGACCACGGGCACCACTGGCTCAATCCTCGGCCATGGAGCAGGTGACGGCCCGAGCGTCCTCCTTCTCCCGTTCCCGGGGGCGCAGGGCCACACAAACCCGATGCTCCAGTTCGGCCGCCGCCTCGCGTACCACGGCCTCCGCCCCACCCTCGTCGTCACCCGGTACGTGCTCTCCACCACCTCGCCCCCTGGCGCGCCGTTCCGCGTGGCCGCCATCTCGGACGGCTTCGACGCTGGTGGCATGGCGTCCTGCCCCAACTACGCGGAGTACTTCCCGCGACTAGAGGCCGTCGGGTCCGAGACGCTGCGGGAGCTCCTCCTGTCGGAGGCGCGCACTGGGCGGCCAGTGCGCGTGCTGGTTTACGACCCTCATCTTGCGTGGGCGCTGCGGGTGGCGCGGGCGGCCGGCGTGGCCACCGCGGCCTTCTTCTCCCAGCCGTGCGCAGTGGACATCGTGTATGGGGAGCTCTGGGCGGGGCGTCTGGCGCTGCCGGCGACGGACGGGCATGCGCTGCTCGCGAGAGGAGCGCTGGGCGTGGAGCTTGGGCCAGAGGACATGCCGCCGTTCGCGGTCGCACCAGAGTCGCAGCCGGTGCTCACAAAGACGTCGATTGGGCAGTTCGACGGGCTGGAGGACGCCGACGACGTGCTCGTCAACTCTTTCCACGACATCGAGCCAAAGGTACGTCATACTTTGAGACTGGTCAGCTCTGCTTTAATTATCTAAGTTTTGCAACAAGAAAGAGACCACGTGACTTAAAGAGGTCGTTAGGAATTAATCTTACGCATTCGGCACTGATGAGAGCAGAGCATTCTAATTTTAGTTGTGTATTTTCATTTTCAGATGCTAGAAAACCAGATGGTAAAATTGCTTCCTTAATTCATTTGAAATGTATTAATTTATATGTATTTTTAGTGCAAAATATCTTAACAAGAGAACCCTACATTGCTTTTATCAATTAGCATATTTCTTTTTTCATTTTTCATTTAAGAGGAGTAATGCGCTACACAAGCATCGTAGACACATAATTTTTCATTTCTCATGGAGTGAGCTATGACAGGGTGTGTAAGGAGGACACATCTATTACGTTTCTATAATCTTCTGTTCCACATTTCTAACGCAAGGATGGTGCAAAATGACAAGTCCAGTGTAAATTATTGGAGGTGGCATAAGGGCCTCATATATATGCTACCAGCACGTCACATCAGATTGATGATGTGATGATTCATACGGGTAGGAACGAACGGTCCTGTCAATATGATGTTTCTATGCTTGATTATATTTAGTCCATTTCACAAAGAATTTGATATTTGAAATTTTGCCAACTGAGCAGGAGGCAGAGTACATGGAGTTAACATGGAGAGCGAAGATGATAGGTCCAACTTTGCCATCATACTATCTTGATGATAATCGCCTACCATCCAACAAGTCGTATGGTTTCAACTTGTTCAGTGAGGGTGTATCGTGTATGGATTGGTTAGACAAGCATAGCATTTCCTCCGTTGTGCTTGTATCCTATGGTACTGTCTCTAACTACGATGCAACCCAATTGGAGGAGCTTGGCAGTGGACTATGCAATTCTGGCAAACCATTTGTTTGGGTTGTCAGATCCAATGAGGCACACAAGTTATCTGAAGAACTCAAGGAGAAATGTGAGAACAGTGGATTAATTGTTGCGTGGTGCCCCCAACTAGAAGTTTTGTCACACAAGGCTATCGGTATGGTTACACACATTACATTTCTTTTACTTTTTTATGGACAAGAATATATAAATGCTTTACAAAGTAAACAAAAATGACAACACTTTAGATCTAAATTTATGAACATACATGTAGGTTGTTTTGTTACCCACTGCGGATGGAACTCGACATTGGAGGCAATTGTTAGTGGTGTTCCTCTTGTGGGAATCCCACATTGGGCTGACCAACCCACCATCTCAAAGTATGTGGAGACTGTGTGGGGCATGGGTGTGCGAGTGCGGAAGGGCGATAAAGGATGGCTAAAGAGGATGGAGGTCGAGAGGTGCATTAGAGAGGTGATGGACGGAGATAGAAAGGATGAGTACAAAAGAAATGCTGCAAAGTGGATGCAAAAGGCCAAGGATGCAATGCAGGAAGGAGGAAGCTCAGATAATCATATTGCTGACTTTGCTGCGAAGTATACTTCAACTTGAAGTCATACCAATGCATTTTTTACTTCAAGTTATGAAATTAGGCATTCACTCCAATGCTACAATTCTTTTAGAGTGAATGAAATTTTGTGTAAGTAGAGTGTCTTCTCACCATTTAGAAGGATGTTCAATTTCTGATGTACTAACAATATGTGAACAATTGATTACAAGTTATAGAATCAATTTGAATAAATTATATGGAGTCTATAAAAGTATTGTCATAGCAACTTTCACTTTATTAGTCTATGTGTATTCTTAGTTTTCCACACAATAAAACAGTTCCCTATAATCTATACCAATATATATTGTATGAGTTTTGAATGTGTCCAGAGCATCGATCTTGATTGTTGATATCCTCAATCTAATGGTTGAAAGCAATGGGATTCTCATGAACAGTACCTATCAGCTGCTTCCAATGTATTTTAGGACCATCGTGTTTTAAAAAGTGCATGCCGCTCAGGCCATGCTGTGTTCAGCAGCGACGTGCTGAGTGGCTTGGGATCGGTCTAGAAAGAGGACAAGAGAGAGAAGAAATCTAAATTAAACAATTAATGAATCTTACCCTGCTGGTTATTTTCCTTTGTGTTTTACAATTCTGTCACCAATCAATAGGAATTACACACTTCTAATATTTCTTTTTACAACAATAATATTCCTCAATGCATTCATACATAGAACGTATTATTTTGCATTTCCTTTTTGCAGCATAGCCTAATGCTTTTTTCTATCACCAAAAAACACTTATGTTGACGTCCACGTGCGTGCATACTAGTATATTAATGTAAGAAGATGATTTTTTGTTCATCCTAAATTTTCATCAGATACATATTTTTATTGGTGCACAATTAGGAGTTCTGTAACTTTGAGTTGAAGCTGAATGCCTAAATGTATATGAATAAAAACCCATAGATGTTTCAATTGATCAGATACACAAAAAGACACATGAAAGATTAAAAGACAATATCAATGAACATCATAATTTAAGATAACATAATCATATTCCCTACGTCTTGCCTATGACCTCATCATAAGGTATCGTGTGTTACGCTATTCTTGGAAGTGGAGTTTTCTCATAATCTAGTTGGAATGGATTGATTCCTTTGAAATATTGCATGTTGTATCCTCTGGTGATATAAATCACTAGTAGGATGCTTCCAAGTCTATTAAGACATTACATTCTTATAAATACCCGAGGACACTATTTAGAAATCACACAGACATTGAAATATTTTAGCCATTTGAAAGCTTCATGGAATATACATCTACATAATTCTCTATCGATTGTTAAAACACAATGTATCACACATGGTATTAAATTACAAAGTATAACAATGTACAGACATAAAGATGCATTACACATATGAACTATGCATTGTACTTGGGGACCTTAGTGTTTTGAGAACTGTGCATATGTATGATTGGGTGGAATTTGGTGATCTTCTTATTTGGTGGGGTACGAAGGCTCTGTGGCAAGACCACACATGCCCTTCTTGTCTGCAATGTCCTTCTGCATTCTCAATTACCCATCTTCGCCCCAAGTTGTGCCCCATGAATTCTTCATTAACCAATAACTTGTGCCATCACTAGTCTTTCCATATCCAATGGCTGCAATTCCATGGTCCAAATCAGTGCCGCATGAGCTAGTCATCACCTCACCAGAGTAAAATTGGAATGTCATGTCGTCTTCGTCGACAGCTACAAACACTGGTTGGTTTGCAACTGCCATCATAAGGGAACCCTCACTATTGGCAGGCACATCCTCAAAGCCGGTGCTGGTTGCAGCACTATTGGATCCAGCCTTGCACTTGCCATCAGTTGCATTATATGTGTAGCTGGACTCCATGGTAAGTCCTCAGTCCTTGATAATAAATTTCAAGGCATCATCCATGAGTCCTCCCTCGCAGCCTTGATCTTCACCTTGAACATCACAGTCAACCAACTCTTGCTCCGACAGTGAGATTAACTTGTGTGTTTTCAGTTTTACAATACCCTCTGTCGCGGCAACAACAGAAAATGCCCAGCAATAGCCTAGAAGTAATTGTGTTGTTATAGTGTCATCCAAGAAAATATTACCATGTATAAGCAATGCATCACAATGTGTTATGACTTACCGCACTAGCATTGATTCTTGATAGGGGTGACAGCTCCCTTGGCCCTCCAGTCCATCGTTGCTGGAAGGGCATCAAAACACAAATTCTCATACTTGAATCCTGAAGAAAGAATTCTCATGGAGTTTGCTTTGAACCCCTTGTTTGTGTTGGTTGTCCTGAACTCATCATTGGTGATATCAGCGAATTGGTTGACGCCGAGCCAGAACTTGTGAGTCTGGGCATTGAACTTTCAATGAATTCAACGCTGGCTTTGAAAACCTTGAACCGGCGCGCCTTCTCTGTGGCGTCCTTGTACACGCGGCCGTACTGCGCCATCCATTTCTCATGCTTGATCACCATCAATAATTCATTGTTCAGCTCACGAGTTGCAATGACAGTTCCGCATAGGCAGATGCAACCCAGGATGGCAAGGAGCAAAGCCCTGTGGATGGCCATCTTCAATTATGCACCGAAATGCCTTTCTTCTAGTACTGTGTACTCTGCTTTGGTTTGGTTTGTTGAATGGAAGTTTGTGGTATATATAATGTCATGCACATGTTAAAATAGGAGGTATAGAGATACGGTACTTGTAGGAAGTTTTTTGTGGAAAAGGGCTTGTGCGTTGCCGTGGAGTGTGGTGTCCAGCCAGATGTTATAAAATTTAAGTGCACAGGGACTAGGAAGTACGCGTAGTGCACATCTGATAGTGATTGCTGCCTATTTGTTTTCAGGAGTCTACATCTTACGAGAAGCCATTTAAAAGATTTATTAATGAAACAATAACCTGCTTGTTTACTCCAGGAGTCTGCATCTGAAGAAGACTGTGGACGTGACGTGCAGTATGTACTCCCCGTTTTTATTTACTCTGAATACTAGCTTTGAATGAAGTCAAACTTTATAAAGTTTGACCAAGTTTGTGTAAAACAATATGAACATTTACAGTAACAAATTTGTATGATGTGACAATATATGCAATGATGAATCTAATGATATACATTTGGTGGTGTATATGTTAATATATTTTCTACAAACTTGTTGATAGTATATAAAATTTGACTTCAGACAAAACTAATTTGCGGAGTAAATTAAAACGAAGAGAGTACACAAGAATCAAGTAATTGTGTGCTAAGATAATGAATAGCCTGCCTGATAATAATATACTGTTTGACAAGAGTTGTCTTAGTTTCTCAAGATCGGATTTTCAGCCATGAAATTTCCTTCCTGACATCCCGGCTTGCATTTTGCTCTTAGTCACTAGGGAAGGGAGTAAATGGACTTTGTGCTTGTTCGGTCTTTACTTTTCTTTTCACGAATACGTGGAGGCGTATCATTCCATTGATATAAAGAAAGAGTGAAAAGGGTACAAGGCCCCAGCGATCTACGTACAACATAGGGCGTAGATGGGACTGCGAGAGCAGAAGACAGGCTGCTGACAGTAATTACAAGATTTCCCCAAACCCTAAAACCCCTGGCGGCGATTAGGGTTTGGCGTGGACTCGACTTTGCCCAACGACTCGTCGCCGGTGCAAGAGGAAGAGGAAGAGGCTAGTGCTCCGGGCTCATGGTTGCGCCTAGCGCCGCGGGCTCGGGGGAGAGGGGAGCGATCCCCAGGCGGGCTGCACCACCAGAAGGAAACTCGAGGAGGCCTTGGGGAAACTTGACATATCCGAGGAAGAGGCTACTCCTCTGATCCTTGACGATCGCGTCGAGGGGAGGCCGACGAAGTGGCTGTGGGTCGGGAAGGTGCTCCACCGGAACCATCTACACATCCAGACCATCGCTAATGCACTTCGGCCGACATGGGGCAACCCGCATGGTTTGAAGTTTAGATCAGCGGGCGTCAACGTGTTTGTAGCAGAATTTGAGAATCAGAGGGACAGAGATCGGGTGTGGGGCGGCTCGCCATGGCATATCAGTAAGAACGGCGTGGTGATGGCTGAGTTTGACGAATGTATGCGGCCTGATAAGGTCCAGTTTGATCGTCTGCAGATTTGGGCTAGGGTTATGGATCTACCCTATAACCTAATGGATGAGGTGTGGTGGATGCCGATCGCTAAGCAGATGGATAAAAACGCCTAGTTTGTCAAGTTTGATCATGATGGTGGTTTTCCGCGGGCAAGGATATCAATTGAGGTAGACAAGCCTTTGAGAAGGTGGATTTTGATCGATTCTGCCAGGAGAAAGAAGACGGACTTGTATGACATTCAATATGAACAGTTGCCCTATTTCTGTTTCTCCTGTGGTAGATTAGGGCATTCAGAGTTCAATTGTGTTACTCCAGGCTCACGCGATGACAAGGGTGAGCTGCCGTTTGGCTCTAAACTCCGTGCGTCGGATGATGCAAAGAAGTCGCCGGCCAGCGACAATTCCTCCAGGGAACCAAAGTCTCACAACAAGCCAACCACAAAGAATTCTAGTACAAACAAGGAACCTGGGGAGGATGTGACATCTCCTATGAAGAACAAGCAGCCACCGAAGCGAAAAGATGCTCCTCATCAAGTTTACAAACCTGTGGCTAAACCTTGTTGCTTATAGATGGGAGTTTGGTCGATCTAGTTGGGAACGCGGGTGCAAGCATCAAGGACCCAACCACAGCTAGCAACGATACAGAGGGAGATAACTTTGCTTGTGAACCAAAGAAGAAAAAGCCTACACCAGATAACTCGGCAGAGACCGCGTCGCTGTCCTGCCAGTCACCATGAGTGTTTTAAGCTGGAACAATCGGGGGCTTGGGAACCCCGAGGCAGTTCGGGAGCTTCGCAGTATCGTGAAGCTTGAAGGCCCCTCCCTTCTCTTTGTAATGGAAACTAAAATCAAAGCAAAAAGAGTTGAGGATCTGAAGTTTACGCTTGGTTTTGAAGGAAGTTTTGCAGTTGAAAGTGTTGGCCTTAGTGGCGGCATAGGTCTTTTTTG